CACATTCAGGTTGGTCTTCCTTCTCTTGCAGTTTTCCAAGATCATTTTGTCTATTAGGAGTTGATCTTTTGTTCCTCTGCTATTGGGGCGGTTTCCTTTCTGCTCAGGTGGAAAGAGATTGTTTTCAACTAGATGCTGTTGTACTGCATCAGCTACCACACCAGTTAGTAATTTGAAAGTTGTTGGTAAGCAGGTAATTGGCCTGTAGTTACCTGGTGTTGCCCCTTTTGCTGGATTTTTCATTATTAGGTAGGTTTTCCCAGTTGTTAGCCACTTTTCAATTTCTCCTCCTTGTAGTATATTGTTGAACTGTTTGGCAATGAGTGGGTGTATAACAGTTAGATGTTTCAACCAAAACCCATGCAGTTCATCTTCACCTGGTGCTGACCAATTTTTGATTTTCTTTGCTCTTTTTTCTACCATTTTTGTTGTTATTACTAGTTCTTTCATTTCAACTTCTGTTTTATTTGCATCCACCTCTTTTAACCAAGCCGCATCCTTGTTGTATTTCTTTGGGTTATCCCATATCTGCTTCCAGAACTGCACTGTTTCTTCCTTGTCAGGTACTGACTGATTCCTTGCAGTTTCTCCATTGATGGATTGGTAGAAACGTTTCTGATTGGATTGAAATTGGAGGTTCTGCCTATAGTTTGCAATTCGAGCTTCATATCTACTGATTTTCCTGGCTATAGCTGTTATTTGTTGCTTTATTATTTCCAGTGCTTCCTTGATCTTCCTTGTTTCTAAGTGGTATTTCTTGATTAGGTATTCTTTGGTCTTCTTGTTCTTCAGCTTCTTTTCTTTCATCTGTTCTAGCTTGCTTGCATGTGATCTTAACTTGCTGATCTTATTTTCTAGTCTAACCTTCCATTTTTTTTTTTTTTATTGAAAGTTTTATAAATTTTACAAAAAAGGAAAAATAATACAAAACAAGAGGCAACATATACAGAAAAATAAAACTAAACAATACATATATTAAATAAAAAAAAAAAAAACCCCATCCCCCAGCCCTCCCAAAAAAAAAAAAAAAAAAACCTCCCTTCCCCCCCCCCTGAGCTTCCCAGAGCAGAATATAGGCTTAAAAAATAAAAATAAAAATTAAATTAAAAACTTTATATTTATATATATAAAAAAATTATCTATAATATATATGAAAATAAAACTTATGAAAAAACTATATAATATTTTTGTATACCCAATCTAAATTGTATAAATTTTATCCATTTATCCCAAACAGCAAAAAACTTCTCTTGCGTTTGTTGCTTTAAGAAAGCCGAAATCTTTGCCATTTCTGCCAGATAAGCTACTTTAAGAAACCATTCCTGCAATGTAGGCAAAGATTCCTTCTTCCAGTATTGTCCTACTAACAGCCTAGCGGCTCTAACCTTCCATTTTTGTGGTGCACTGTTTGTTTGTTTTTCTTCTTTGTTGATTTTGCATCCCAGGTATTCAGTTATAACTGCCGCTGTGCTGTACATAAGTTGGTTTGTTTCTTGCAGTGAATTGGTGCTTATGCTTGCTATTGCCGTATTTGCATCTTTTAATGCTTGTGCTAGCTGTTTATTTGGAACAAGCTTCAATGCAGGTAGCCTTATTCTGTTGTTTTTGTGCTTTTCTAGATGCTCAGTTATTCTTTGTTTCAATTCTTTTATTTCTTTAGTTAGAGGGTTTTGTTCTTCCTGAGGAAGAGGTGCCTGGTTTCCAAATGAGAACAGTTGTATATCTCTACTGGATTCTTTCACTGCCAACTCCCCCTGGTTTGCCTCTACATTCTGAATTACTTCTGGTAAGGCTTTGATTTCTTTGCCCTGGGTAAACCTTTGCAGTTCGTCCAATTCTGTTTCTGTGAATATTTTATTTCGTGTTATAAATCGGCGTTGATCTGCTAGTCTCTGTTCTGTTATTTCTGATTCTGGATGTTGTTCTTTCCAGAACTGGTGCATTCGTTTTAGATATCCTCTTCTTGTTGGACTTGATCTGTAGTAACAGATCATTATTTCTTTGTTTTCCATCACTGTGTATCTGCGATGGGTAAACACCTTTTCTTCCAGTAGTTCTGCAGCTGCTGGCCCTGGTTGCTCAGCCAACAGTCCTGAGTCCTGTAACCCATTTTTCACCAGATATCCAGGAACTCCAATATCTAGTGCGGACCTTGTTAACCCGGGCGACGTCCGAGCCGGTATGGCATTCTGTAATTTACGTCTCACCATATTTTTATGGGAGAGACACTCTTTGTCTGACTCCTCTGATGAGACCTGTCCAGTATGGTTGAACCTCTGGCATAGCTCTCATCTTCCTCAGAGTACACAAGCCCCACAACCACGTCAAGGTAGTGCCTCACTGGGGGTTGTTGTTGTTGTTATTATTATTATTATTATTATTATTATTATTATTATTATTATTATTATTATTGCTAATGGTAATGCTGCAAGAAACAGCACACAGTACTGTTATGCAAACCAGTCCTGAGAATTGCTGACTCCTGACTACTAACATGACTTGCTGTGTTCCAGGACTAGAGAAGCAGTCACATTTACTTTATTTCTCACAGCCATCTTTTTTCCAGGAGCTCAAGGTGGCTGGCATAATTGCTGTGGCTTCCATAATTGCTGTGAAAATATTTTTTTTCCATAAAGGACAATATTTATAGCTCAGGGTTGAAATGAATGGTGCTCTGTGAACTTGATTGTTTTCTTGCAGTCATTTTATTACCCAAGCTAGGTAACATCCTCACTGATGATGTTACCTAGTTTGGGTAATGAAAGGTCTGCAAGAAAACAACCAAGTTCACAAACCACTAAGGACCCTTCAATTTTTTGCCGTCTGATCTTCACAGCAGTCCTATGAGATAAGATAGGCAAAAGGATAGTGAATACCCAAAAGTAGGTTAACTGTGTGACTTGAACCTCACTAGAGTCTTACAGTGCCCTCATTTTGATTAGGACCAGTGCTTTTTTTGTAAAAAAAAAAAAAAAAGGTGCCAGAACTCATGCACGTTATACAACCCGCCTTGCCTATCCTACAAGGTTCCATCCCAAAAAAGTGCCGGAACTCCGTTCTGGGCGTTCTATGAGAAAAAAAGCCCTGATTAGGACAGACAGCAATTGTCTTCTAAGAGTTTAGGTTAAGCTAATAAATCTTAAATTATTAAATTCTGCAAAAGGTATTTTAATAGGGCAGGAGAAGTTGTGTTAAACAAGTATATTTTTCCAGAAATATTTCTGAACCACTTGCTTTCAAGGGGGATCTGGATAAATCTTTTGTTCTTACCTTTTATGTGTCTGTTTTCTGAATTCTTGATTGGCTTTTCTAGATTAAGACACAATTCATTTTCAGGAAGAAATATTTGGGGTTATTTTGTTAATGGGTAGAGACTATTCACAATAAAGTGTGCGGGTCACTCCAACACACTTTTGTTCTAGAAAATGAAGATTTCTTATGAGTTTTCTATAGTTATTTCTCTGAAAACTGTTGTATTCTTTTAATGTTTTCTCTGACACTAACAGATCAGGCCTGCAAAAATCACAGTGACAACTAGATTGCAATAAAAAGAATAGAAAAAAAACTTTGCTACCAACTAGTATCCATCAAATTTCTGTCCCTGAATCAGTAAATCCTAATTACTTTTAATTTCTTGGAGATATTCCTTGTCTTTAGTGAAAATATTCACAAGCGTATGATTTTCCATTTGGATAAACCTTAGTTCAGATTATATTTTCATTTCTCTGTAGCACCTGGGCAGATTTTCCTTCTAAAATGTAATAATAATAATAGTAGATCTGAATGTATTTGCACAGCTGAGAGGATAAGCATATATTAAAAAGAATGAAAAACAGTGATTGTGCTGAACAGTGATGAAAGCATTGAGGATTTTTGCCACAAGTATTGAATTTTACTTTGAAGAACGCATATTTAAATGCTCTCTATAAAATTATAATACTCCTGTAAAAGAAGAAAATGACACTTTCTAAATTGTAAGTTATTAATGAAATTATATATCTTTTTAATTCAATGAAGAAGTAATAACTGTTTTTAGGTTTGCCCTTTGTTCAGATTCTTAAAGGTCCTCAAAAGTAAATTCAGTGTAAGTGGTAATCTAAATTATAAGTATTTTAGAAGGGAATTTAAAACCTGCTTAGAGTATGTGATAAGATTAGTGCTGAAAACAGTTCAGATGAGTTTTGGTAGCTGTTGAATGCAGTTACAGACTCAATCAAACTTTTAAAACTTTACAGTAATAAATAGAATAGTTTTTTTTTATCTATTCTAGATTGAGCCTTCCTCAGTCTAATATGATCTATATATGCAGTATTGAGCCCAGATTCTCAAGCCAGAATGACCATCATGGGGCTTCTAATCCAACTTTTCTTAAAAGCACCAAATTAGGAGAATGTTGGCCTGCCAATGCAAAATTCTGAAAATAGCACTAAAAGAAACAAGAGCACAGATCACAATTACTGATTGTTGTTTTGGGGAACCTTGGACAATGCAAGTGCAGAAGCTGAAAAGTCTTAATATTCTGTTTCTTATCTTGCATTCTGCAAAAAAAAAAAAAAAAGTGCCTACATATACGGTATGTGGAATTACTTTTTCCAACATCAGAAAGACTGGTTTTCAACAGCAATATTTTTTCAACAAATCTTTATTTTCAAGAACATATACTAGTAGCAATATTGAATCAGTGATGATGTGCTTTTCAAATTTCACCATAGAAAAATATGATGAGTCATGTGATATAGCGACTAAAGTAATCCTATATTTGAAAGGACTAGACTGAAACTGATTGCTGGAATCAGGAAATTAAATAACATAAGTCTAGGTTGTCGAACAAACATTTTTCAGGTCTGTGTTTAAAAATTGCATCCATTAAAAAAAATCAGTTAAAATATTTCACAAATAAATGTTTTCTGCATATCTAATTTCACTTTGTCATTTGATTTCACACAAACTGTAACATACTGTATAGCATTTGATAATGCAATTCTCCCTTGTTTTCCTAGCTGATAAATTTAGAAGAAGACTTGAGGAGCTGCATAAAGAGAAAAGTTGGCTGAATTTTCAGCTTCCTTCACAGCATCCTTCCATTAGCAGCTTCTTGGACAAAATCAGAGTCTACATTCAAATGATATTGTATGAGGGAGTTCATAAGTAAGTGTGCCAGAACCTGATGCCTTTCCACACCATTATGTTGGAATTTATGAACTCAGAATTTTAAGTCTGTCTATGGTTGAAAATAATGGGACACTGTATATGTTTGTGTGTGCTGATCTGTACTTATATACAAATACATTTAGTGCTAGTATTAATACCACTTTATAATGCTTTGGTAAGACCACACTTGGAATACTGCATTCAGTTTTGGTCACTACGATGTAAAAAGATGTTGAGAAGAGCAACAAAGATGATTAGGCAGCTGGAGGCTAAAACACACAAAGAACAGTTGTTGGAATTAGGTATGTCTAGTTTAATGAAAAGAAGGACTAGGGGTAACCTGATAGCAGTCTTCCAATATCTCAGGGGTTGCCACAAAGAAGAGGGAGTCTACCTATTCTTCAAAGCACCTAAGGCAGAACAAGAAGCAATAGATGGAAATTAATCAAGGAGAGAAGCAATCTAGAACTTTCCTGACAGAACAATTAATCAGTGGAACGACTTGCCTCCTGAAGTTGTGGATGATCCAACACTGGAGGTTTTTAAGAAGAGATTTGGTAACCATTTGTCTGAAATGGTATAGATTTTCCTGCCTGAGCAGGGGGTTGGACTAGAAGACCTCCAAGGTCCCTTCCAACTCTGTTATTCTGTTAGTGCAGTGTGTATATAAGAATCTGAGCTGGGAACTAAGATCCCGCTTTTGCCATAAATTGCTTTAAAGCAAAGTAGAATGTTCACAATGTTCCTTTCTGTTATAGAGGGTTAATTCTGACCATTACTTGAGTGTTAATGGAGGTGAACTGCTTTGAATAGTGTACAAGTTTTGTGTAAATGCTAAGCATTTGATGATGATAACTGTTTGGGAGCACAGTCCAGTGGGAAAGTTTACTGGCAATCCTTATTGGAATATATGTGCAAGTCCTAGAGATTTTAAATTGGCTTGCACAATAAAGCATAACAATGGATTGTATTTTTAATAATTTACTGATGTATAAATAGTTAAAGAATTTAATCTGAAGAGCTGTCTTCTTCAATCAATTGCCAGACAGTTTTGTTAAGATTATAGCTTCCATAATTACTGTCTGGCAAATCTACGAATTACATCCCTGTCAGTTGTGGAAAACCGCTTTAGAGTAATTTTTAGATTAGTATCCATAGCAAAATCCTGAATTTATTTTTTTGTTGTATTTCTCCTTAACTACCTGTGCCAGAAATGATAACACTGCAGTCCATTATCACTGATTTAGCTCTTCCCCAATTTCTCTGAAAAATTAATAGTTGTGCTGAAAATAGCAAGCATCCACACATTTTTCATTGTGTCCGTCCTTTGGCTGGATTTGCTATCTGGTGTGCTATTGGCAAGTGAGGCATGACATCAGGAAACCTTAAACTGAATACTTTTCCAATTGATTAGTTTCTATAGAAATTTCCTAAGTAATTTGTCCAAGCATAGGACTGAATGTTGAAACTCATTGGAGTAAATACTGGAGAAAGAGAAGACCACTTAGCTGCAAAACTGATAACACTTTTTTAAAAGTACTCTAGAAAACATATGAGTGTATTGCAGCCTAATTTACTCTTTGAAAAACTTTCAAATATTCCCAGAAAATCTGGGCAATTCTGATGAAGAGATAACGGTGCTTCGCTAGTTTGAGCTGAGCAAGCACAAATTAAAACGTTTATTTATAGAACTTTTCTTTGGTAATTATTATTTGTTTTATCGGCAATAACATTATAAGAAAAATATGAGAATTGGGATTCTCTGTTTGTTTCCCTAAGAAAAAATAAATACTTGCTGTGATGGCCATGAGATAAAGGCAGTCCTCGACTTATGACCACAGTTGAGCCCAACAGTTCTGTTGTTAGGCAAGACATTTGTTAAGTTAATTTTGCCCGAATTTACAACCTTTCTTACCTCAGTTTTAAGTGAATCACAGCAGTTGATTAAGTTAGTAACCCGATTGTTAAGTGAATCTGGATTCCCCATTGACTTTGCTTGTCAGAAGGTCGCAAAAGGTGATCACATGATCTTGGGACACAGCAATGGTCATAAGTATGAACCAGTCCCCAAGCGTCTGAATTTGGACCATGTGACCATGGGGATTCTGCAAAGGTCATAACTGTGTAAAACGGCCGTAAGTCACTTTATTCAGTGCCATTGTAACTTATAACGGTCACTAAATGAACTGTTGTAAGTCAAGGACTACCTGTATTTGATCACTGGGAAAATGTTTGAAACCTGTGAATCTGCCTCTGAGTTTATATCTGTATTTTTAAAAATTTGTTGACTACCCATAAATATTTTATTATTTACTGATGTGAAGATTATAAATAAGTAAGCCTTCCTTGCTTCCTTGAATATTAAGAACATCAGAGCAGGACAGATATATGCAGTGCTTTTTTTCTAAAAAAAAAAAAAGGTGCTGGAACTCACACACATCATACAACCCGTCTTGCCTACTCTACAAGGTTCCATCCAAAAAAGATGCCGGAACTCCGTTCTAGGTGTTCTATGAGGAAAAAAGCCCTGGATATATGTAAGATGGCCCTCTGTACGTACCAGACGAGTGAGTTTGTGGTTTTCTGTCCTAATCTCCAAGTGCGCCTGTTCTTCCTGAAAGACTACCAGATGTATTAAGGTGACCAACTTTTTTACAATGAAAAGGAGAACACAAATAAATTGAAGAAAAAAATATCGTAAATAAAAGAAACATTTTATTCATTGCAACAATAATACAGAATACACTATAATATGATAAATGCAGAGTGGGCCCCGTGGCTCCCAAAGCACCAGCCGCGCTGGCTTTGGCCCCAGGGGGCAGCCCGCCATCGACACAGCCCACCTGCAGCCGCCCCGCCAGCACCACCTTGCGCAGCCCTATGTAGACCAGGCCCCGTGGTTCCCACAGCATGGGGGGCAGCCGGCTGCCGCCGCTCCTCACACCCCAGCCCTAAGCAGCCCCGCTGCCCCTGCCTTTGCGCCCGCAGCCATTATCGCCCTAGCAGGGCTGAAGATCAAGATAAATTTACCGTGGTGTCACTGCTCCAGTCTCCTCCAGATATCTTCGGGACTAACTAGGAGATGGTGTAGTTGGGTAGCAGGGAGGGGTGCAAAGTTCCTGCCAATTTGCCTTCACTGCAGATGACTTGCATGTGCAAAGCTTGCCGGCCGCGCTCAGCAGCAATTCCTATTGGCTTTTGAAAGCCAATAGGAGGAGTAGCACAGCTCATGCAAAAGTTGAAAAAAAAAACATCAAAAAAAGGTGCCGGAACGCCATTCTGAGCATTCTGTGAGAAAGAAAAAGCCCTGCAGATTAGTCTTCAAATATTGAAAAGGAGGACATTTAGGAGGACACTTTTCGAGGGAGGATAGAACTTACAAAAGGAGGACTGTCCTCCCTAAAGGAGGACGGTTGGTCACCTTAGATGTATCCAACTGTTGGCACAATGGTTGGATCATGTGATTAATTATGAATTGGATTGGAGTGATTTTTGATCTTTTCAGGCCTTTGTGTGTTGGTTAGGGTTAGGGTTAGGATTAGGGTTAAGGTATACAGTAGGGTTAGGGTATACAGGATATACAATCAGAGTGGAATATTTTGCCAAGTAGGTGAGAATAGAAAGTGTGATTACGCTACTGAATAGCTTATAAAGAATCATTAGGTTATTTATCTGGCTGCACTGAATGAAAGTAATAATCTAGTTTGAGAAGAGATTTATCAGCATGATGTATTTTCCTCAATTAGAACAGGCAACTGTATCTTACTGTATAACTAGGACATTGATCATTTACACAGAAATATCACAAAATTGATTAAACATGTTTAAAGCTATTTCATAAAGCTCTGTGCCCTTATTATTAATCAAAGATTTATACTTTTTTTTCTGCAGAACAAACCATTGGCACATACAACATGGAATTGTGCCATGATTTAAGAGGCAGTAAGTTATTGCTAAATGATAGGTGGATAAATATACAAGGTTAAGCATTCTAAATTGACATATTAATTATTATATTGATTCTCAAGGAATTCAGTAAGGGAATATGTTGCATTTACTCATTTGCCTGTGGTCAGTAATTGGCTTAGAAACAGAATTCCTATAGAGAGTACAGGGAATGGCCTTGAAGAATGGACAGGAGGATAGGTCCCTGCTAAGGCAGATAAGAGGGGCTTGAGCTTGGGCCAAGAAAGCAACTGGAGAAAACGTTCAGACAGGCCCCTTCCAAGTTCACATGAAGATAAAGGAAGGGAGGGAGAGGAATATTCAGTGAAGAAAATAATACAGATAGAAAAAGAAAAAAATCATTTAAATAAATGATTTCCAATCTTCTTTACAGCACTTACAAACTTGCTATCTCTCCATCCCCTTTACAACTACATATATACTTTTCTTTCTATTTTTAATTTTTTTAAAATCAGCAAATCTAGAAATCACTAAGTCATTTTTATCCAGTTTCAAGAAAAATTTCATAGAAGGTCTTTTCTGAAAATAATTCTTGTTTTATCCCTGGTCATCCCAACAAAGTAGTATCTTTTTCTATTTAAATCTAATCACTCCTTGTTAGTTGGAAGGTATCCCTTTCTGTTTGAGATTATCAGTCAGAAAGATGTGTTCTTTTTCTCCACACAGTTGTTGTAGAACCGGATTTTCTTCTTCATCACAAAGTGCACAATGGCTTTTGGTACATTTTTTGATTTTACAAATCTTATATTAATTTGATTCCCTTATCAGCTTCTGCATCATGTCATATTTGTCCCATTTCAAAAATTTTGTTAAGACTGCAGCAGCCCTTTCCTCAATATCATCAGGTTGTTCTTATTCCTCTTCTGGGCTGTCTTAGTTTCCATTTATTTTTTTCCTTTTTAAAAAATGTTTCTGTTTTAATTTCTAAAATTTCTATCTTTCCCTAAATCTGTCCACATTTTTAATTCATTTTTCTTCCTTTCTTCATTCTTCCTAAAAATATAAGCAAATCTCTCTTAACAAATTCAGTCACTGTTATTGTCACAAATGCTGTGATATTCTTCCCCAATTCTTCAAACATCCTTTGTAGAATCTCAGGTTTAATCCCTATTGTTTGCTATGTTAAGGGTCTTTCCTTCCTTCCTTCCTTCCTTCCTTCCTTCCTTCCTTCCTTCCTTCCATCCATCCATCCATCCATCCATCCATCCATCCATCTATCCTAAATAAACCTTTATAAATATTTAAATAACTCTATAAATAACCATTTTTTCTTTTAATTTATAATCCAGAATGGAAAAGCAACAAGCAAAAGAGAGCCTGCCCTGGGCTTTTCTGTATAACCTTAACTCTTTGATACCCTTCAGGTGTCTATAGCTTTATAGTCCATGATATATATATTTTTTGCAATTGTCCTTAACTCTTTGTTTAAAAAAGTTAACCAATCATTTCTGTTGGAAAATTTAAACTGACCCCTTTCCAATGAAGGTATGTTTTATTTATATAATTAATTCAAAAGCACTTTAAAATGAACAATTTTCCAAATTCAACTCATCACTTTATCCATTTTAAATTTCCATAGATCAAAATTTTGGTAAGTATTTCACTTTTAATTACTTTAAAATTTTTATAGTTTTTTTTTTTTAATTTCACTTTAATCACACCTTGGGCCAAAGGAACACTCATCAGGTTCCAGCCTTTCCAGATAGACTAGAAACACAATCAAATGAGCTAAGATGACATTACATCAGACAGCTTGCAAATCTGATAATACAAATCTCCCACCATCTCTTTTACAGGCTAGGGAGATTCCTTTCTGAGTTTCTTTCTGAGGGCTGTATTCTCCCTTATCTGTTTGTTCCCTAGCAGCATCTCTTCCCCACCCTCACCTGCCACCCCTGTTTCCTAAGGTTATTCCCATATACCATTACACCAGCTGGTCTAGTTGTTCTACTGTTCAGAAGGTCCCTGTATTTGTAACACAAAGTGTACATTGCAACATTGGTGTTTGAGTGAACCCAGAATCTTTTAGCAAGGTCTGCTGGGGTTGTGAGTTTTGTTTCTTCTGTGTCTCTCAATGTCCTTATCCATGGATTGCCTGTCGGTTCCCTATGAATCCCTGGGGTTTTCTTGGAAGGAACTGTCTTCTGGAGCAGATAACAGCAATCTCTTGGCTTCTCCATATCCAGAGAAGCACTGTTGAAACAGGCTTGCCATCCAGTCACCAGTTTCCACCTTAGCATCATCTCTATTCTTTGGAAACTTGTCAGTTCACAATTTTTCTCCACCTGGAAACCCCTCAGGTATTGTATTTTAATCAGGGAATGACATCTTTTGTCCAACTCATAAAGCAATTTACAACAGCTGACTGCTGAAGTACTATATATAGTCTGGATATATGTTCAGCCTTGCTCTGATTTTGTGTATTCAATAAATGAAGCATCATTGTGTGAATAGAGAGTTTTCTCTACTAAGCCTTTTCTTTGCTAAATCTTTAAGAAATAATTGTTTCTAACCCTGTCTGGCATTCTACAGATATATTGGACTGTATGTTGGGTTCATGATCATTGTAGTCCAGTACATATGGAAGTTACCAGATTGGAGAAAATTGTAACAAACATCTTTATGTGTTTTCATTAATATTTCTGAATGCTGTAACAGGGAAAGGAAACGTCTCCTAGAAAAAAGTCATCAGAAGATATTAAGTCTTCCTTATCATAAAAAGATACAGGTTCCAGTTACAAAATGGGATCAGCTGCTTGAGGAAAAGAAGTGGATACAGGTAAGCAGAATATAATGTACTTTGTGGGATTGTGGATATGGGCATGCACAGATAAACAAATACACACATTAGCACACATATGTTGTTGCAAGACAAAAATCTTGAATAAACCTATCTGTTACTTGAGAAAAAAAAAAGGGAAATTGGGACCATAAGATTCATACAAATTTTAAAAATACTTGGATGCTCCAAGTTCAGTTTGGTGAACATGTTTTTATTTTATAGTATTAGTTTTCAAATGTATTTATTAGTTTCTCTATATTTTTCTTTTCTAAAAGTCTTCTAATAGCTTGATAGACAGAACCATGCAATCAATATAGCAATCAGTATTTATTTATTTGCTTGCTTACTTACTTGCTTAATCACATTTATATGGCCATACAATTTACTCTAGGTGACTCTGGGCAGCTTTAAAAAAAGCTACATTAGGGAAGTGGGAGCGGGTGGAATATTGCTTGAATCCTTTTTGATAAATATGATGTACTGTTTGTTATTCATTAATTACTTGAACATTACTGGAAAAATTCTTATCAAAATGGTATTGTTATCACCAGCACAATTTCTACTGCATTGTTAACAGTTCTATTCTTCTGGCAAAATAGGCAGTATCTTAAAGTTTATTGACAGTACATTTAAATTAGAAGAATTGACTCAAAATATAAGCTGATGTTTTAATAAATGAGTATATAGAAATACAGATGGCATTTCAGGGTTTTTGTTCTTTCAAAAAGAAGAAAGCACAAAAAGAGAATATTTGTAGCTTAGGGCTGAAACGAAGGGTGCTTGATATTCTCTGAGTTTGGTTTTGTTTCTTGCGGATGTTTCATTACTCAAACTAAGTAACATCATCAGTGCTGATGGGAGTGGGGTTTGTTCTCACATTATAGGGCAGGGGTCTTCAAACTTAGCCCTTTTCTGACTTGTGGACTTCAACTCCCAGAATTCCTCAGCCAGCATACCTGCTGAGGAATTCTGGGAGTTGAATTCCACGTCATAAAAGGGCCAAGTTTGAAGACCCCTGTTATAGGGCAAGCCACTAGACTAGAGTATAAATAGAGAGCAAACCCCATTCCCTGCTGGCACCTAGTTTGGGGAAGAAAATAGCCAAGTCCAGAGAGCACCAAGAACCCCCCCCCAATATCAGTATATCATCATGAGTCAAAGAATCCTACATTTTCTTCCTTTTCTGACATTACACTGATTATCATCACTTAATTATTATCAGATGTTCAACTGTAGTGATAGGTTTTTTTTTACCTCATTTCATGAAAATAAGGGTTTAGAGATGCATTTTCCATTATCTGAAGACTATTGAATTTCTGACATGATTCCCAGATTGATAGTATAGAAAATGAATGTGTTTGGGTTACAAGCTTGATTTTATACTCAAAATAACAGACCTGATGTTGTCCTGATGACCTCTTTTATCTTCTAGACAGAGGTTGACACATTAGCTAGTCTGTTCTTTTCTTACTGAATCTTTCAGGCAGGGGCATAAATAGCGTATATCTGATGCTGCATAAGTGTAAATTAAATTTCTTCAGCCAATTCATTGGATCAAGAAAAAAAAAGTGGTTCATCACAAGATACTGAATATAACTGCAAAGTTAAATTAGCTTTTAAGTTTTGGCTTGACATCAACAATGTGCTTTTTCAAAGTAACTGCCTGTTGCTATTTTGAATTCATGCCTTTATCTTGTAAATGTATATAATAGATGGAGTTTGGTGGTTTTAATGAAGAGATTGGATAACCATTCATCTGAAATGGTACAGGGTACCCTGCTTAAGCAGGGGGTTGGACTAGAAGACCTCCAAGGTTTCTTCCAATTGTTTAAATTCTATTATTCTCTTCTATTATTCTGTTATTCAGTCCTAAAAAATGTAGGCCACACAGAAAATCTTATAAAAATTAACAGATTTTGCATACATTAACCATATCCAGTGGTGTTAAATCCAATCAACAAATGTGAAACTTTGGTCTTTTAAAGGGAATTTGAATCATTTATGAACACCTTGGCTCAGTGATGAATCTGGGCATTTTAAAAACATGATTTGATAATGGGATTTTTGTTTCAGTGTATATTGCCCATCAGGTGAAGAGGGTTGATTTAACTGATTGGCCTGATTTATAAATGGTTTCCAGTCATACAGGACAGCAGTGTGGTCATATAACTCAAGCGTATGTGAAAAGGACTTGAGTTTCTCTTACACATTTTGTACCATTCATTGATTGGTTTTTCCTTGATAAAGATATACAGCATATTCCATTTCCATGCAGAAAGAAATTGAAGTTCTTAGAGCAAAGCTGGTTGTTCTGGAAGCTAAAGATCAACAGTTAAAGACAGAAATTCAAGAACAAGACTGCCATATTCATGAGCAAGATTATGAACTGTCTACTTTGCTCAACTGGATGTCACTCAAAGAATTGCAGACAATTGGCAAAGCCTTGGCTGATATTTTGGTGGCCTCCCATAAAATTCCATATAGTTTGGATTTTCCAGAACCTGTCAAAAGGTATTTGTTTTATGGATTATTTTTTGATAAAAATCTGCTTTATTCCTTTGCCTCTTATTTTTCATTGTATTGTACTACTTTTAATGAAGAAATATATATAAAGAAGTACAGTCTTTAATTCTAGATTCCAGTTCTTAGAAAATTGCTGTATGTATCAGAGTAATATTGATATCTGGATTTCAATTTCCTTTACTGATAACCCCATGAAAGTATTCATTTATCAGAATAATAGAATCTTAGAGTTATAAGGGTCCACTAAGCCAATGAATCAAATCCCCTGTTCAGTATTGTAACCCAAATTAAATTATCACAGATAAATGTCTGTCTAGTCTTCACTTGAACCCATGTAATGAAAACTTGCCCATCACCTCTCTGGGAATCGTTTCATCATCAAACTTCTCTTGGTTAGAATGCAGTATTGCAGGCTAACTCTGCCAACTGCCAGCAGTTCGATTTTGACCGGCTCAAGGTTGACTCAGCCTTCCATTCTTTTAAGGTTGGTAAAATGAGGACCCAAATTGTTGGGGGCAATATGCTGACTCTGTAAACCGCTTACACAGGGCTGTAAAGCACTATGAAATATAAGTCTAAGTGCTATTGCTATAAGCAAATTCAATGGGGAAGCTGGCAGGGAATGTTGCAAAAGGCCCCTTTAAGTTGTTTGTACTCTACTGGCTTCCTCTCCCCAAGGATCCTGGCTATGGTTATGAGATCACAAAGGGGCAGCCACCTGTGTATCATCCCTCATGTGGCAGCAGTCAACCTAAGCTCCACCATACTAGCACCATACTGCAGCAGCTACTTATCTGACTGCTGGCCTGCTTGCAAACTGCCTAAGACTTGCAACTTCTTGCTGGCTTTTCCACTGACTTTATTTGCTAGAAGCCAGCAGGAAGTTTCAAAGAGATTCTCACTTAACGACATTGATTCTTGCTTAATGATGACAATGAGAAGTGCCGGGATTGCTGTCACTAAGCAATGCAGTCACTTTATGACCCCATCACTTAGCAATAGAAATTCCAACTGCAATTATTGTTTTTAAGTGAAGACTACTTGCATTATTTAAAAAAATGGTTTTTTTTTTTTTAGAAGCGTGCAATTAGAATCTGTTTTCCTATAGCTTAAATCCATTATTCCATGTCTTCGGAATGAGAGAGTGCAATCTTGACATGGCTTCCTGCACTGTGAAATCTTCTTGTGGTTGAGAAGACTTGGTTTTCTTTTGAAATGGCCCATCTATTATTTGCATAGAGGAAGGTATTGTTACTTCACTTTCCTCCTAATTGTGCTGCACACACAAAGCACCTTGTAAAACTGTCCAGAGTTGCAGAGTGGGCACATAGAAATTCAATAAATAATATTATAACACCTGAAAATGAAATTCTATTGGAGCCCCTCCCACAACCTCATTTTTATTCCAATATCATATACCGTATGTTGATTTGATACCTGAAGAGTATGGAGATATGATGATTGGCCCATCCAAACACTTTGAGCTGTATTTTTTATGCCTTCAGTTTCATGTTTTGGAGGGTAATAACCCCCAAGCAAGAAAAAAAAATGTCTCTTCTATCCTGCTAGAGTTACAGTAATAGTTCTAATCCAAATGTTGCTTGGTCATTTATATATTTGAAATATTCAGGTGACATTTGGGACTGCTAGTTAGAGCTGTATTCAATTTTTGTAGCTTTCGTTTGCTGCAGGAGCTCTCTGGAAATTGTTTTCCTTGATAGCTTGCTGTCATCCCTCTTTGGTTTAATAGGTCTTTGCTGTTGTCTTTTCTGTTAATGTGTCCTTGAGATGTGCTTATTTCTGTTTTTCTGCTAATTCATGTTAAAGCACAGTACTGTTGACTGTTTTTTTTCTTTGAAGCCACTGCATTCTCCATCAAGAGGTTCACTATTAAATGTCTTTAAACCCCCTGCTCCCCAGCTCCATTTGTTCAATAGTTGGATGCTCTATTTTTAGTTGGATTTAATGACTTTGATACATGACTTGCATACCTGATTTATCACACTGTGAAATAACTAGACCAACATGGATACTTCCCATAGGGAACTGATATAATCTTCAAACAGCACAATGAGCACAAGATCTAAAAAAAAAATATTCTCTGCACATCCTGTATCAATTTAATAGCCACAAATGTTTAGATCTGGACAATTTTTTTTTAGAAAAAACCATCCAGCTCCTAGTTAAATCTGAATGATATGCAAACTGTTATTTGCACTTTTAATTTTATTTTGGATCTTTTTACCCTTTTTAAACCTTTTTGCTCTTCGTATCAGTGACTTCTTGATAATTATGTCCTGGGAATTCAAAGGCTATTTCCATAAGCTGTCATTTGCAACCTTGAAATCCTGTAAAATTTAAAAGCCAGCAGTATGTTTCCACTGTTTCTTGATATACCACATCATTTGATCCATGCAACCTGTAGAAGAACATGACAGATGGTTTTCCCCTAGTTCCCCTTGCCTCTTTGACATCCAGTACTTGTATTTGATGCATTGAAAAAAAAAAACCACCAGTGCTTGCAAAGGGATGTTAAGCCACTAAGCTGCTCCTTGTACTGATCAATTAAGTAGTGAGGAGCTAGTGAGATACAAGTGATTTATTCTATTAGGGGAGGAGAAGATTCATCCAATAAGTGAGAGAGGTCCAATGCTTCAAGTGGAAAATTCCATGTGTTTTTCTGCTTGAAGTGCAGGAGGAAGTTCATGGCTTCAATTGCCCACCAAAGATGGAAGTCTGGAGTCAAATGACTACAGAGCCAGTTCTGGGAGCAACATGAATGCTTCATATTGAAGCCCCCAAGAGACAATTCTTGTGCTTTCTGCATCTTTTAACATGCTCATGTTATTACTAAAGTTTGAAACATGGAATACAACAGTTTTTCCTCTCTATCCCTAATTTATGTAGAAAATTACACTAATTCACAGAACCTTGCTTAAATTTAGGAATCCAAATACATTTTTATTACTTTTTTACTTCATCTGTTCCTAGAGTCAAAATATATTCTTCCTCTTCTTCTTCTTCTTCTTCTTCTTCTTCCTCTTCTTCTTCTTCTTCTTCTTCTTCTTCTTCTTCTTCTTCTTCTTCTTCTTCTTCTTCTTCTTCTTCTTCTTCTTCTTCTTCTTCTTCTTCTTCTTCTTCTTCTTCTTCTTCTTCTCCTTCTCCTTCTCCTTCTCCTTCTTCTTCTTCATAATGCATTATTTATTTAACAATGTAGTAGACTTGTATTGCTGCCCAACTCTCAATGACTCAATGACAAAGAAAGTCATTACAGTAAAATCAGTAAAAGATGAAAATAAAAGATGATAAGCACAGTGAAGGCAGGCATCAAATTGTTTCTTGCCCAAAGCCTGGGTGGAGAATCCAGTCTTCATGGTTCTTCTAAACAGCAGCAGAACAGGGTTTATCTACTATAGCAACAATAGCAATACCTTAAAAAGCTACTCCTTAAGCTATATAGTAGTAATTGGTAGCAAAAGTGAATACTCCGGTATTGAATCTAGGGTATTTTCTGCTTATTCACAAGATATAATTTATCCAATAAGCTGTTTTTTTATTGCTGTTTAACCAGTAAAGTACAAAAATAAGCCAAATGGTATTATAGTTAAACAGTTTTCTCGTTAAAAGATGAGCAAACACCAGAGAAAATTCACAGGTAGAAACTGCAAGTGCCAAGGAATTACTAGAAGCCCTGATGGATTTGTGTTGTGTTGCTGAAGGGCAAAGAAACCATTTCATTCTTAATAGAATTTTGCTATATACTTTTCATTGATGTAAGTTTCAGCAGAGACAAATCCCCTGGAGTATCGAATTTGTCCTCTTTCAAAGGAGTTGGATTAGATCTGTTTTGAAGGTCATGCCTTTTAATGACATTTGGTGAAAGATTTCCAATCTTTGGTAGAGCTAGGAGTCTTCATTCCCATTTTGGAGTCTCTTGATAAGTAAAGTCCAGTGCTTTTTTCAACCCTCATCAGTCTCATCCCATTTGTATAGTTGGTTTATTTAGTATGCTGTATGGAAGAGTTGGTTTCCAGATTGATAAAGATTTCAAGCATCTTGATGCACACAGCCAATGACAAGCTTCCCTGTTACCGTTATAAAAAAAAATCTTTTTGCTGGATTATAGGAAGGTTTAAAACAAAACCCAAAAGTCTCTATAATATACAGAGAAATATATTAACTCTAAATTGAAAATAATTCAGTTTCCAGAAACCTTGTGATCTCATTTTAGTAATCTCAATAAATCTTGTTAAGGAGAACTTGTGAATAGAAAAGAATAATTTCATTTGGGGACAGCACTAAAAAAGCCTGACCCCCAAACACCAAAGAAATCAGGAAATCCAGGCAGTTCAAATGAATATAAGGGTTTATCGCAAGCTTAAGTTCTCTACAACAGAGCTTTTCAACCAGTGGTACAGGTACTACTTGTTGTACATTGGCACCTGGCAGGTGGTACGTGACCATCCTAGAAAAGTAGTGGGGGAGCGGAATGAGCTGAACCGGTGGCAGCACCGCACAAGCCTGTCGGGGCTCAGCGGAGGCGCCAGGATCAGTGCCGCTTTCCAGCTGATTGGCGCTTCTTCTCCCGCTCCAGCTGGAGCTTGGTACTGATCCTGGTGCTTCTGCTGAGCCCTTAAGAAACACCAATCAGCTGGAAAGCAGCATTGATCCTGGTGCTTTTGCTGAGCCCAGAAGAAGCGCCGATCAGCTGGAATGTTGCAGCATCTCCAGGGTCTTGTGATTTACATTTAGATTCTTGGCAACTGATTCATATTTATGATGGTCAGGATTCCAGGGTCATGTGAAGTGACCAAAACCTGCTGCAACCACCCAGCAGGCAGAGGGAATAAAAACCAAACACCCCCACCCCACCCCCACTGCCAATCCTCAACAGAAATGCTCACAACAATGAAAACCTCGGAGAGGAGGAAGAGTGCGGCTGGGTGGGCAGGCAGGTGTCTTGCCCAGCTGTGGCTTGTGGAGCATTTTTTTCAGTGCCATTGTAACTTCGAAAAATCACTAAGCAAACTGTTGTAAGTCAAGGACTACCTGTACTTCATCACTTTTTTCCTTTTTTTTTTGGTCATCAAGTTTTTGACATCTTGCTAGGCGACTGGTGGTACTCGGATATTGCCATATCCTAAAAGTGGTTCAATGGGTGAAAAGGTTGAAAAGCTCTGCTCTCCAAGAATCTGAACTACAATGATCAAAGCAAATTTGAGGTAGATAAGAGTCAATGGAATTCAAAGTGGACTGGACTTAGATTTCTTGTGGGTGCAAAGGTTGTTGGTAATCAGTTGCAGTTGTTATGTTTTAATAGGTTTACCTGAAGTTGGTGGTGCTTCTGAATATGTGTGTGAGGGATTAAAAACAATATCAGATTTTAATACTAATTTGTTATTTCTAGGCTTCAAGAAAAAATGCAATCCCTTAATATATCGATGACAGAAACTGCTGCTGAAGTAAGTAAAATCAAACTGTTGTTTTCCCCTGCACTAATGAGTCAGTGAGTTATTGTACATTAGTGAAAGACACCAAACTGCCTTAAGCAAGGTCCAGCAGGTTCTTATTTTTGAATATCAAATTTGGTGATCTTGCATTTAGATTACTGCAATGTGTGTTACATGGGGCTGCCCTTGAAAATGATTGAGTAAGTTGCCATTGATACAAAATGCAACAGCCCATCTACTAACTGGGAAGAGTTTGTCTAGTACATTATACATGTCTTTCGTCATTGTGATGGTTGTCAGACAGCTTTCAGGTCCAATCCAAGATTCTGGTTTTAACCTATGAAATCTCACATATCTTTGTCACTTCAACTTTCCTTGCTGGTTTCATCTTGATCTGAGACAGACAGCTGAGATTTCCCACTCTTCATGACTTGAAAGGAGTGGGGATATAGAAGGACACTTTCTTTGTCACAACACAAATGTTAGGAATATGTCACCCTGGGATACAGAGAGTTAAAATCATATTCTTCTTTTGTAAGGCAATAAAGCTATTTGTTCCATCAAGGTTTTGGTTTGGATATTGCTCCTTGTCTTATTTTGGGTGGCTGCATTTTAATTTCAAACTGATAAGCACTGAGCCACTTATGTGCAGTTATTTTTAACTACAAAGCACTTTATACTACTTTCTTGGGGCCATCTGAATTTAGCTGCCTTCTTGATCAAAAAAGAGTTACACTAATGAGAAGTATGGACTCTATTTTGAGAACTATAAGCTGTCATAGCTTTGCCCAATATGTCTTGGAACAAGGCACTATTCCAGCAGTTCCATCATGGCATGAAAGCAAAGAGAAGGGCTAAGTTGTTCATCTGGTTCAAGTCTATTTTGATTTTCAAAAAGCAGGGATGCTGGGTGTTTTGAATTCATGCCCATAGGAGCAGGATTAGTTGTGTACCTGATAGGCCTTGTCTCAAAGGTGCTTTTTAAAAGGTAGCCGGACTTCGTTTTTCCTTGAAAATGTTTTGCTTCTCATCCAAGAAGCTTCTTCAGTAAGCTTCTTGGATGAGAAGTGAAATGTCTTCAAAGAAAAGCAAAGTCCAGTTGCCCATTGAAAAGGCACCTTTGTGACAACCATCACCTGGATAACTGAGAATCTCCATAGACACTGATAGGGTCTTCTGAAAAGGCCTTCTGACTTGCATAGTAACTATGTGATTTTAGGAATTTACACTTCTGAATTATGCATCTGAATTGAGGAATTGCAGAGAGCGCACATAGGCTCTTCTGAAGCATCTTTTTGACTTTGGATCTGAAGCACAACACATTACATTCAGCAGTTACTGACAGTTAACAAGATATTTGCAGAAAGTTCAGACATCTGTGATTTTTATTTTTTTTTGCCAGTTTTGGCCTTTTGTCTGAAATACGATCCCATGATATCTGCTCCTCTTCTTTCTTTGTGATTATTTTGTCTCTGATTTGCCCATTGCTAATAGAAATGCTGTTTATGTTGGAAAGCTGTACTGTACTGTGGGGGTAAACGATTTTCAGCAAAGTTGCGCATTATTTTCTATTCATCTTGATTGTCGTTTTGAAATGATACATGTCTTGTAACCAAGACAACCTGACATGCCTTTGTATTTCCTTGCATTTTTATATGAATGAAATCCATATCAAGGCTGCCTGTTTCCATCTAGGTATGTGCTAGTCAGAGGCTCTGCAGTACGTTAAGGAAAAAAGTGAGACACATTGAGATTCAACTTCCAGTTCTTCTTGAAACGAAAATGCTTGCTGCATCAGGTAATTATTAATGGAATAGGAAGATGCCAAAATGTTTCATGACAGAGAATTCTTCACCAGAAGTAGAATTCTTAAAGAAGTCAGGAACAAATTATTTAAGTCACCGTGGGCTTTTTTTTGGGGGGGGGAAATGATAATAAAGGATGCAAGGATTAGGATGTATCTGATTTAAATTGCACTCCTGTGGAATAGAACAGTTGGCAGCTTCTCACTCATTAGATCATAAACAGCTACTATTGCATTGAAAATATTATTCATCTTCAGAAGAGCTGTCTGTCTACCCCCACCCATCTGTAGCCTTTGCATGTATGGCTTTCAATATAGTTTTGGTGTTCTTGCAGTTTATTTGGTATGCATTTGATTTTAAAATGTTTTTTATGAATTGGTTACACATCATCTTAGACAAGCTTCACTGATTGAGGTGGCTTATAAATTTATTAAATAAATACATAGAGAAACCTACAAAAAACCTCCTTCTAGACTAGCCATTCTTTATAATATCTATTTAAAGAAACAGACATATCCCATTGTAGCACATCTTAACTCAAAAACACAATGGCTGAAATGGGGTTGAAAGGTGTCCAAGTCATTTTTCCTCTTAGAAATCCACTTAGAAATCTCCTTTGTTAGTTGGGAATTTTTCTACTAGCCAGGTTCAGAATTTGCTTTTAGAGATATTTGTCCTCAGAATTACTGGGAACAAAGAAGTCCGAAGAGGAACAAGGAAGGATACGAGTCATGCAGCATTTAAATCCTTCCCAAACCAGGGAGATGGTTACCGTGCTAGCATGGGGTTAGGCCAATGCTACTTAATTCTTAACATACTGAATTTCTAGTGGAAATTCCAAAAAACAATAATTTCTCCATTCCACTAAAATGCAACTACATTATTCCAGAAAAAAAATAATTCAGTTGAGTTTTAGAAATAACAATACATCACATAACAACCCAGACTTAATAATTGTTGTTAAGAAAGATAAAAAAAAGCCTGGATAGTGAACTTTGCAGCACTTGGACATAGCAGAACAGATGAGGAAGAATTGGAGAAAATTACAAAATATAAAAATCTATAAGTAGAAATAGGAGTACAATGACTGTGGCAAAAGAAAGCAAATACCAATAGTCACTGCCTGAGCACAGACTGACTAGCAGCAGACAACAGCATGACAAAGTAGCAACAATGTTGGCAGCAAGAAATACCATTTGCCTGCAAGCAAGAAATGGTGGGACCACAAAACAGACAAAGTAATGGAAAATGAAGAATCTAAAGTGTTCTGGGACTTTAGAATTCAAGCAGGCACTTAATAGCCGAGGTGGCGCAGCAGTTAGGATGCAGTACTGCAGGCCACTTTAGCTGACTGTGTTCAGCAGGTCAGCGGTTCAAATCTCACTGGCTCAAGGTTGACTCAGCCTTCCATCCTTCCGGGGTAGGTAAAATGAGGACCCAGATTGTTGGGAGCAATGTAAATATATATATACATTGCTTACTGGTGTACACTGCTTAGAGAGTGCTTGCACTTAAAGCGGTATATAAGTCTCATAAATAAATAAATAAATAAATAAATAATAGCTGCCGATAAGAAAGATAAATGAAATATGGATAGTGGCTGTTGTAATACCTAGGAGACAGCAGAATAGAACTGGAGAAAATTTCAAAATACAAAAACCTGCAAACAGAGGTAGAATGACTATGGCAAAGAAAGTACAGTAAAGATAGTACCGATAGTAATAGATGTCTTGGGTACATTCCCTAAAGAATTGGAGCACCACTTGATTACCATTGGCACTGAAAAATAATCACCATCTATTAGTTGCAAAAGGCAGCTTTCTTTGGACCATCTTTCATCCTTTGCTGATACCTTTGATACTACGAAACAACATCTTCCTACTCCTAGATCTTGGGAAGGACTCAATATGTGGATAAATATACCAGATCCAGTCTTAACATTATACTGACTGTGTGACCAACCATCATTTGCTAAACTTGCCTTCTGATTTTCAATGAGTGAAGAAAATCATTCTGAGCACTATCTACATTTTTTTCCCCTCAGCTTTTTGGGGACCCATTTGCATTTCAAATGTTGAAAAGGCTTGGATGCTTGCTTAATAAGACCTGACAAGTATATGGAGGTGATGAAACCAGAAAATCTAGCAATGAAACCATTACAATGTGCAGTTTCAGTGATGTATAAATCTGTCAAGAAAAATGAAGAATTGTATTAATTAAATTATATTAACTGTTTCCCAGAAGAATGTTTACTTAGTCTTTAAAAAAAATAACATTAGAATGCCATATCACTTGGTGTTTTCTATCGCTGGGGCAGATTTATGCAGATATGTTTAGAAAAGAGTCCTCATGTGGTTTTTAAAAAGTGCCAATTTTAGTTATTATGATTGAGGTCAGGAGTTCACTGCTGGCACTTTAAGAGAGTGACGTGATAATTTCTTGATGAGTTTTTGATATTTCACCTCAGAACTGAAGTCACATTTCTTGCTGCCATAAAATAAAATAATAAGAAAAGCAAACAAGGGCAGATTTGTCTCCAGAGCATATATTAGAGACAGAAATGCTTATAAATTATTAACTGGGATATGGGGCGTATTTCATCAGCACTTCAAGTCTTGATATTAAGTTTCCTTCTGGGAATTAATAATCATTCAGTAAGCATAAAACTTTAATAATGAGGATAGTATCTTCTCCCTGACCTTTCAAAACAAAACAGAGTGACTTCTAATGACAGAATCTTGATTTTGAGAATGATGAGGGAATAAATGCAGCAGTAGTTGGTAACAGATTTTTTTGGCTAAGAAAATTAAGTCCCGCTTAGAAGAGTTGTGCCATGGCTGTCCAAACGTTATTGCAGGGCAATATCTGGCATTGCTGATAAGATATTATTGTATTGCATTTATTGTTATTTTAATGAATGAATTATTTATTATTAAATCATTATTAAAAATAAAATCATGCATTAATTTATTAAGATTGACTCTCACTCATGTCAGAAGCACCAAGGTACTTCTGGGTTGAAAGTATTAGCTGGCCACATCACTGTTGCCTGAAGGGACAGCTAATTGGGGGCTCCTTTCATGTCCCCAGTAGGAGCTGGAGCGAAGGATAGGAGTTCAGCCCACCCCATGGCAGAACTCAGGTCTCGAACGTAGGCTTGCTGCCTGTCAAGCCAGCATCCTAACCATGCGAGCTATTGTGCTCCTAATTTATCAAGATTATTTATTCATTATTTTAAATATTGTATTATCATTCTATTAACAGGTTAGGGATAGATAGTCATGGAGATAATATATCTCTGTGGTTGCTAGGAATAAAAAATAACGATGGTACATAATCAATCAATCAATCAATCAGTCAAGAAGGCTTATTATAGTATTTAATCATTAGATGCATCCATTTTTCTCGATAGATGAATAGAAATGTTCAAGGCAGATTAAACTTCTAGCTTACTGTGCAACCAACATATAATAATAACAACTGTTTACATTTATATTTTAATTGATTGTCAACTGCTTTGAGAAAACAAAAACAACAATGAATACATTAAATACACGTTCATTGCTCATGTTGTATGTGCTATACAAGTGGTTAGCTCTTTAGTTTTTGTAACAGTCTATTTAAAAAGTCAAAGTTTTGTTTCTTCCCTGTCTTTAACTCTTCCTAATCTCATCTGTTCAACGCACAGGAGGTAATTTCTGTACTGCTAAAGATCTTGCAGAAGAAATTCAATCACTAACTGCTGAAAGAGACTGCCTGAAAGGGCTGCTCAGAGAATGGTCAACTCTGAATGCCCAAAATATCCAAAAACTAGAGAGAGGGAAAGAACGTTACAAGAGACTGAAGGAAGAAACAGAGCAAGAGGAGTTTGCGTTTGGTGAGTAGAGCAATTTGCCAGCTGTCGGGGTGACGGAGGTCTGCCATTTTTATGCAGGATGACATCTAGGGTTCTGCTCCATTTGACAAGCAATAATGTAATTTATATGATGTTCTAAACAAAGCTCTCTGAACGGCAATTCTTCCAGGAGCTTTGACGTATACCACATCTTAAGGGCTGTCAACTTCTGTCCCTGTCATTTATGAGTGACTTTTTTTGGCTTGCTTTTATATGGGGATAGCTTTCTTTTTTTAGATATAACAATAAAAGATAATACAAACTAAAAACAAAAAAAGAAAAGGGGAGAAAAAGATTGCAAGAAAGCAACCCCCCAAAAAATATTAAGGACACCCTCTCTAGAAAGGATCTTCCCACCAACATCACAATGTATAAACAATTTCATAATCTCTTTACCTCTTCTTAGTTAAAAAATATAAAACTCATCATCTAATAACCCATTTCTTAACAACAGGGAAATCAAATAAGCATGCCTTCTCCAATCCAATTATCAGCAAAAGTCTAAACAGAGCTTTAAAAGAGACTCAGTTTGGTCTAGTGGTTATGGCACCAGGCTGGGAAAAAAAGAGACGGTGAGTTCAGATTCTGCCTTAAACCATGAAAGCCAACTAGGTGACCTTGGGCCAATCACTCTCTCTCAGCCCAACTCACTTCACAGGGTTGTTGTTGTGGAGGAGGAAGATCTATTGGATATATTTTCTGCCTTGGGTTATTTGTAAAAGAAATAAAGGCAGGAAATGAATGAATGAATGAATAAATAAATGAATAAATGAATATATCTATATCTATACTTATCTATATATCTATATATAGTGTAAAAAACTCTAAACTAAACTAAATTAAAGTTTAATATAACAAAGAGAGACCATTTTTTAAAAAAGAAAGCTCTAATATACATTTTTCTGATTCCAAATCCCAATTCAAAAGAAAAGCACCCCAAATAGTAGCATTAAGTAAACGTCCCATATTTCAGCTTTAAATTATAAACAAATCCACATATCTATATAAATAAAAATGTAAATGTTCATTTATTCAAAATCTTAAATCTCCGAAAGTTCTTCACCGATTGCTTTGAAATTTTGACTCAACGTTGCATTCGAATACACAAGTGTTTTTATATACTTATATTATATAGATGTCACACCTGTGACAGGTAAAACATGCTTTTTTTGAAAAACAGCGTCATCTGTTGGACGTAAAAGCAACACACGCTACGATTTCAGACAATCTCTATATCTGCACAGACAATGGAACAACAAAAAATATTGTATACCCACAAGCATTGTGAAATTAAACATATTACAAACGTGTGCTTTCTCTTTTCCATTTAACCAGACTGAGCCACAGCAACGCGTGGCTGGGTACAGCTAGTATAAAATAATCTTAGTATCCTAATATAAACAAAAAATTAAATTTTAACATAACAAAGAGAGTTAACATCTCCTTTAAAAAGAATAAATTCACAAAACTTCTTTACTTTAAGTAAAAGGACAGACACAGAGCCAGTTTAAATGTTAAAAAATTAGGATACATAAGTTAACTGAAGGGGAAAATTCTTAAACACCATTTTACATGTAATTAAATATAGTATGCACCATTTTTCTAGTCAAGATATCAGCAAATCCAAAAAGAACCATAAAGATGTCCCATTTTAATCCTGATCAAATAAACTGATGCTATATTCCTTTTTTATACAAAGCAATCTTTCTCTATAATGCATTCAGATGATTATTAACAATTGTTATTAATCTCTTCAATATTTTAAGCAGTCTCCTTTGTAAGAGCAACAAACAGATGATTCTGTGGAAGGTGATAGACTAAAACAGCCGCATGAAAAATGGAGCTGATGTTTGTAGCTGTGAATAGAGAGCCGACAGGTAGATTGTGTCCCATGACTCTCTCTGGACAAAGAGAGGATGTGAGATTGCCCAAGCTATGCTTCTTATGTTGTTTCTTATGAGCAGATCACAAGATACTAGTCTCCAGAGGAGGAGGGAGAATTGGGAGATGTGTGAATTTGCCATAATTGATCCAGCCACAAATGGTGACTTTTTAGAGGATGCTAAATTTGCACTTCTTTTGCTGGCCACTTTTGGAAATTGGCTATTAACTGCTTCAAACAAGTTAGACAATTTCAAATGGACAAAATTGGTAAACACTGGGAGAATGCATTCAACTCTTAATATAAGAAAATGAAGATCCATTTTTATAATCATTAAGAATTTAAAACAAATAGCAAAAAAACAAGAGTATTGTCTCTAGAAAGATTTAAATGAATTAAGGGCTCAGAAAACACTGGAAAATTGGATTTTGAATATTAAGATTTTGAAATTATTTTTAAAGAATAAAATGCATGTTTGTGGGAAGAAAAAATGTTTTTCATATTGGAGACATATTAAACAAGTAACTTATGACATTTTTGAGAGATACCTTTGAGGAACTGCACTGGGAATTGTGTTGGGACTTTAAATCAATTATGTCAACTATACTGTTTCTTCTTGGAACACTCTGTTCCCAAAAGAAGACGTTATAAAAAAGTTATGCAACAAAATCTATCTGAGAATAATCTGAATGAGACTTTGAATAAGAGTTTATCACCAGATATAAAGAAAATAATTTTATGAGCCTTTATAAATTAAAGACTATCTCAGAAGCAATTCTAACAATTTCTTTTTGCTGAGCTTGGTATACATTGATGATGTAGGAAGCTTTCTCCTTTGGGTCATTTTCTCCTTTTCCTCTTGGATGAAGCCTGCTACCTGACACTTGGGATAGATTATCATGGGCCCTGATAGCTTTGCATAACATAGTCCAGTTCTGTAAATATGACCACACATGTTTTGTTTTGTAGAAAAAAAAGGTAGAAGATGCTCCTGTAATAGCGAACCTGGCAGGAAATATTATATAAATATTTATAGGATCATGGAATTTGTTCAATCAGCACACAGAATAGGAACTGAATTTGCAATGCTTTGGAAGCAGTGTGCTTTTTGTACATGAAATATCAATAAATTTTGTCAGTGCGGTAAAACTGTTGTCTTGCAAATGTAAACGTGTCTGTTGATTACTATAATAGTAGTAATCATAATAGGAAAGGAGAGACCTTGGAAAACCAAATTCTTTTGTATTTATAGGATATTCATACATACAAGAGTAAGGATGAGAAGGCTGGAAGTAGTCACACCTGAATCATTCTTGGGAGAAATAGTAGTAGCCTGAGTAAAAAGACATTAAAAAGACTTCTTGTTAAATAAAAAAACCCTATTTTTTTAACTTAATGTGACACAACCCAATCTCTTAACTATTAGTCAGTGAAGCAAATATTGTTGTTTCAATTGTCCTTCTTCAGGATAATTATGGCACATAATTATTAAAATCCAAATAGCCAATTGTGTATTTTGGTATTTTTGTGAGACTGTGGACAGGTGCATAATCTAGAGGAGTTTTCTTTGAGTGGGATACAGCAGAGTTCACTGCCAAATGTGGCATGGACAGCGAAATCTGCTGCAACTGGTCCATGCTTTCAGACATCTTCAAAATTTGAAGTCAAACCACAAATTAAATTATTCTTTGTTCTTGGACTTTCTGAGCAGCAGGTTATATGAGGAAAAAGTAGTCATTGTTGCAGGAAGTAAAGACTATTTGGTTGATTATGAAAAGAGATAACATGCTGTTAAGTGCCTTTGTATATGTGTGCAGAAATACAAAATCAGTATTCTCCAGTTTTCATATAAATAGGTTGGTAGGTACAGTTGTATATACTGTTATACACAATTTTAGGGAAACAGTAAAAGCTTCCCATGCTTAAAATCGAAATATATAGAAGAACAGAGTTCTCTGTTTTAAGATTAACAATGAGATTAGGCTTGCAAAAATGTTAAATGTAATCTGCCCAGAGATGCTGGGAGTCAAATGGTATATAAATTTAATGAATTGTTTGTTATTATTAGTTAAATCTTTGATAGTAAAAAAAAAAGTTTTGCGATGTCTGCCCAAAATATAGCCTCCATAGATCTTTTTTGTGATAATTTCCTTTTGACTAGACTTCCAAACCGCTTTTAAAGGTAAATCTCAAGGATTTAAAAATAGTTTTCTATTTTTAAAAACTATAGGATTACACTCCCAAATTGGTTTTGAAATTCAGGGTACTGTGTACAACTGTTTGGGGGAGAACTTTCTAAGCATGGTTTGCTTTTTTTAAAGTCTCATCATCCTTTGATGATTAGAGTATAAACCAAATGCAGAATACACATCTGCGAATATTCTTTTTAAAAAGCAAACTTTGAATTCCTTACCACTTAAAAAAAAAATTGAATCTATTGCCTTGTATAATAAAGTGCAGTGAAGCACAAAATGCTGCAAGCAATATAAATAATTAAAGTATATGATTTCCTTCCCCACCCCATCTCCCTTTTCACTTTTGCTTTCATCTATAGCACATCTTTCTTTAGGTTACAGTAATTCGTTTTTGATCTAATTATATCAAGTGGATAACAATAAATTTAGTGAAAACATGCCTCAGGATTGTAAACACTGACACTTCTTACCATATGCCAATTCATTTTAACATAGCCGAGTCTTATTTTTTCTTTAAATCCTTTCAATTTGAATCTTTCTTGGAACGCTTTTTCCCCTTTATTAAGGATTTCTAGAGATTTGGTAAATCTTTGCTTTTGTTCATTTTTTTTTATTTTAAGTTGCCGCTATTTGTGATCTGCAGTTGTGATAGCTTCTAGGTGTTTGCTAAAAGATTTCTGAAAGGTAGTATTTTAATTTTATATGGTGCTTTCTAAATTATAAACTAGGATGGCTCACATAACACTGCAGGTAGTCCTTGACTTACAACAGTTCATTTAGTGACTGTTCAAAGTTACAACAGCACTGAAAAAGTGACTTATGATCATTTTTCACATGGTCATGTGATTTAGAATAGAATAGAGCTGGAAGGGACCTTGGAGGTCTTCTAGTCCAGCCCCCTGCTC